TTTTTGATTATTTGTAAAATTTTTTCTATAACTTCGAAAGTTTCAAGATCCGATGTGTTAATTTCTTTTGAAACCTTTTTTGAACAATTGATTAAAGGTTTAGAGATATTATCACGTGTGATGACATCATATAAAATATTTTGAGGATTTTTGTCAACTAATTGTGTTACATGTCGACCAAGACGCGTCTCAAAATCAGCTGATAATAAAATTTTAAATTCAGCATCAGGAAGAATATTGGTTGTTACATCTTGTCCAACTACAACAAATTTCGTTAATTTCTTGATTTCTTGATTAATTAATAATTGTATTTCTTCATCTTTTGAAAGTTCAGACGCTTTTTGAGAAATATCGAGAGAAGAAAATGTACTAGAGTTGGAACAGTTAATTAGAGTATCGTAAGTATGTCGATTAAAATTTGTCGAATTAATATTGTAGTAAGCTAAATAGCGATAAAATAAACCAAAATCGATAAAATTAAAATTTAATCGTTTTGCTAAAGAATAGCCAATAGAAGTTTTTCCGGTGGCGGTTAGACCATCAATAGCAATATTGAATTTCATTGTTATTGAATAAATAATGAACTAATTGGTTATTTTATTTGACAGATTAGAAAAATATATATTTAGAAATACTAATAATCAGAAATTTCATAAATTGTTGATAAAATATATTTTCGGTATAATAAAGTAGAACAATATAATAGAAATTAAATTTTTTCCACAGAATCAATTTGCATCAAATTAATATTTTGCTTTTTTGGCTTATAAAAAAACCAAAATTTTTCGTAAATGAATATCATATTTTTCTTTAAATTTTTGTGCTAATTCAAAATTATTAAGATTTTTTATGAATACAAAGTTGTAGTCATTCACCAAAGTACGTATATGTAAAGAAGATATTTTACGGATTTATTTTTCCAATTAGTGTAAATGATACTAATCAAATAATATATTTATTTATTATTTATTTAAAAAAAAGAATAATATAAAATAAAAAATTAACAACATTTAATAGAAAAATTTCAAATATCTTGTTCGTTAATAAATAATATCACATATTCATTATTATTTACAATACCCAAACAATCTTGTTCAATATTATTAATATTTGACGTATAATATTTACACTTTTTGAATTGAGTATGTATACCATTTTTATTTTGTTGACCAGTAGGAAATGTATATCCACATATATAAACACATTGGCATTGTGAAAATATTTTTTTACATACTGTACAACATTCGTGCAAATAAGAGTTGTAACAATTCCAACAAGATCCACTATTAAGACCACGAATATATTGGTGTTTCATATTGACATGATTGATATCATTTGCTTTTAAGAAAAATTTGTATTTATTTATATTTCGATTCTTTTCGAGAAAATCATTAATAGATTCGTATCTTGGCGTATAATTCAGAAGTTCAATATCAATATTAATTAAATTTTGAGAAAATGTTGATTGTTGAAAATATATATTATTAATCGAAATAAGAAAATTGATAACAGCAAATATTAATAGATTAAAATGATAAGCTAATTGAGAATCCATTTTTAGTTGTAATAAACAAAAAAAAGATGAACAAAAAATTTTCTGTTCAGTATATTTATACTGAACAGAAATTTGGAGATTGGGGATGATATTCTGGAGATCAATTAAGAACAGTTAAATGCGATTTGACAATTGGTTTAATTTTGAACATGTTTATTTTTATTTTTTTTGCTCATTTAAAGATAGATTTCTTGAAATTTTGAAGTAATTCACTCTCCTGTTTATAGATGGTGGATGTTGTGTCGTTAAGATTTTTAACCCAAAGATATATATCGTAATCTAATTTTATAGTTGAAATATCTTTTTAATTTTTATTAAAGATCCTTTCTTATTTATGTTGATTAAACGTTTATTCTTAGAAAGAGATTTATTGACAGATTGAAGAAACTTAAAATAATCACATCTGCGTCGAACTGGACAAGAAAATCTCTGATAACATTTATTATAATGCCATAAATAAGGTTGAAACTCTCGTTGGTACGATTATTTGTTTTATCTGATCCACATTTACAAATAAAAAATTCGTTGAAAGGAATATGTGAAGAATGTTGCAACATGTCAAATTTTTCTTTTGAATTATGTTTGTTATATTTAATAACATATGACCGTGAAAAATCAATATTTCACCAAGAAATACTATTACGAGTCACGAACGATTCATGAAATACTTTCCATCGTAATAGAGAATATTTTGAGAAATTTGTTCGTACATCTCTCGTAATAGACATTTTGAAATAATAATTTATTAATTATTATAAATAATTTAGATTATTATTTCTAAATAACAGTTCGAAGAACTTTTATATTCATTATCAAATCCTAAGATTCGATACTATTTTATGAGGTGAAAAGCCCAGCTTTTATAGCTGAGAAATGGATTATATTGATTTTTTCTAAGTTTTTTTCTGCAAGATAAACTATTAGAATAATTATTTTTTTCTAAATTCGTAAACATACCATTGAATTATTAATTAATTCCAAATTCGTAAAATACGAATTTGGTGATTTATCAAATAATTAATTATTTCCAAATTCGGATTTTACGAAAATGGAAATCACAAGACTCATTGTCATTCCAAATTCATAAAATACGAATATGGCAGTTCATTAAAACAATAAACTACCATTTTCGTAAAATCTGAATTTGGTATAGATTATAGTTCTAAATCACAAATTACTTAATAAATTTAAAGCTAAAATAAAGATCAAAAACAGAAAATTTTATAATTAGATTAAGTAAGCGACTATTATCAAATTCATTTTTAACAAATTTAGATTAAAATTAAAAAAAAATATATTTAAACAACTTGACTTAAAAATTCTTAAATAAAACAAAATAGCAGCACAAAAAGTTTTTAACATACCGGAATTAAACTTGATGATTATGAAAAGATGTACCAACATCGAATTATTTTTTTTGATTAATCGTCAATATTATCAAAGTGTGTTTCCCATACTTAAATATTTAAAAAAAAAATTTTACATTTTTGTGTTGTGTTTGTTCTTTTACCTTTAAAATATACAAATCCATTTTGAATATAATCAATTTTGTAAAATAGCAAATTTTGATTTAATTTTTGATCTTTTTTATATAATCGGAAGAAAATATGTTGTTTGGGATTAATATCTCTTCTCGTTCTCAAACTTCTAATATAAACATCATAAAATTTTCGACAAGTTGTTTTTGTCTTGGTGTCAATATTTCAAATATGTATAATAAAATATCAATATTGAGTTTTTTCATTTTTTTTTTACTTTATTTTAAATCATTTCTTCTTTTTATATTTTATTTTGATACAAAAAACTTTTTTAATTAATTCTAATCCAAGAAAAAATGAAACATTTTCTTTAATTATTTAATGAATTGATTAAATACATATGAATATGAACAATTAACTTTTTAAAAATATATCAATTTAAAATAAAATCAAGATTTATTTTTTTTATATTCTTAGATTGTAGACTACGTTTTTACGGTATTCTTCATATTCACACAATATATTTCGCTTTTCACATTAGAAACACAAATTAAATCTGTCACATCGAATTTTCTTAATTCGACACCAATTACATGCAGTTGTAATATAATGTTTCATTTTTTTTTAATTAAAAAAAATAAATAAATAAAATTTTAACATTTTATAATGATAAATTTTCATTGGAAAAACTAAATTTATATAGAATTTAGAATTTTATTTAAAAAATAATTTCGGAATTAAATTTAGAAAAATAGAATTTAGAATTAAAGGAAATAACTATGCCCCAATTAAATAAAAATAAATATATATAGAAAGTAGTACAATAGAATTTAGAATTTTATTTAAAAATTAATTTCAGAAAAACTCTAATCTAAGAATTAAAATTAGAAAAAATAGAATTTAGAATTAAAGGAAATAACTATGCACCAATTAAATAAAATTAAATATATATGGAAAGTAGTACAAATTAATTTTTTATAAAAATGACAAAATCAGATATTGGTTGCATATTTTTTATCAGTTATATATTTTATATCTTTATAATGCCTCCTACTAAATTTTATCTGAAACAAGAAAATGGAAGAGAAAAATATCCAGGAAAAAATTTAAAAAAAATGAAATGAAAGAAAAAATTTACAAACTTGAAAGAAAAATTAAAGAATTAAAAAAGAACTTAAAAAACGAAAAATGAGAAAAAAAAAAAGAAATCGAATCATGGACCTTATGGTGTGAAGATATGATTACTGAAAACTATGGATTTCACATACTTAAAGAAGAAGAATACAATTTTAAAAAATCTATTCAAAATAAACCAATCGTCGAAAAGATTGAAATCATTAACAATTTTACAAATGAAATAATCGAAATTTCAGAAGAAGATTCAGATGAAATTACTAACAGTAAT